CGGCATCGGCGGAAAATTGCGTTATCAAACGTTGCGCCATCGGACAGACGATGCAGCAGCAGCAGCAGCAACCAGTCTGGAATATGCCGTCTCGTGAAAAACCCAGTCACGGCGTGTCTCGCGGACTGGACGCAGCCACATACCCATCTAAATGCCAGACAGTCGAGAGTGTATCGGACAACTGTGTCACCGCCGATAGCACGTCTGCGGCAGTATAATCCGGAACGTCATCGCGCGAGCGTGATATTTGCATAATCCACGCGGCAACGACGACGACGACGACGACGACGAGGACTGCGCGGAGAGCGGAAAAATGGTAGCGTCCCATTAGACCGCTTATCGTAAAAGTAGACGGGCTCGCGCGCCTGTGCGAGCATCGAAATTCCCGCGCCGCAGAGCTCGCGACATATGCAGATGTATGACGCGAGCGCGCGAACCCGGCGCGGCGGAGAACGCGCTGCACGTGCGCGTTGCAGTGGATATACGTGCCGTTCCGGCCAGCGTGGCAGCCGGCCTTGTGACGCCGGAGGTTCGTTGCCTCGCTCGCACTCTGCGTCCGCGCGTTAGGCCGTTTCGCGGCTGCCCGCGAGCTCGTACGATACGCGACGCGGCAGCCGGCAAAAAAAAAAAGACTACTTTCTCGCTTTATCAGCCGAGCTGACATCTCTTGAATAATCGACACTCGCGTTCGAGAGCAGGAGGTAATGCGAATTGTCGAGTAAATTTCGCCGCTCCGCCTGACGTACCGTACAGTTTTTAATTTACGTGCATAGCCGCTTTCCTCGTGCGCATACAACATCTGTTCGGGCGAGAACATTGTTCTCGTGGACGTTGACGAGTTGGCAACCGAGGCGTTCATTGATAACAGGCGCGACTAGTGCGCAGTCAACTTCCAAATGTTACGAATAATTACGAATAAGAAGGGAAGATTCAATAAAGAGCCGTGGTCGCACGGCAAATAAAACCTATGTAATCATAGCCCGAGTCTTAATGATAGTCAATGGCGAGGACCAAAGTGCGGGTATTTACGAGCGAAACGTCCTTGGTGTCTTACGTGAGAAAATGACATTAATTAGCGAATCCGCGTCGGCCAAATGATTCGCGGAAGCCATTTAACGGGACTTTGATTCAGCGCCAGAGAGATGCGTTTCGCGCACTTAATTTAAGGGAACGCGATACTTTCGCGCTCCCTTAGATCTCCCGAGGGACTTTAATTCGCCCGCCGGTCACCTGTCATTTTCAAAAGCGCTATCATTTGCGCGGACTCTTGACAAATCAATTTTTCAAAATGACTGCGCTTACGTGTCTTGCGCGCGTCGTTTATTTCGCTCGTCGAAAGAGAGAATATTGAGGTTCTCTTTGTACGCAACGACGAAAGCTTTTTATGTAAAACAAAAGAAATGAAAAGGCAACAAAGATTGACACTGATTCTTTCATTTTATTTGGTCAAGGTGTCTGAGTTTTACGTTACGAACGTCAATGCTTTCGATCTCGTATAAGTAATTAGTCTCAACAATTCCAAAGCATTCTTATAGCGATCTCGAAAAATATTTCTACTTATTTGTTTTATTGTTTTATTCATCTTACGCGAACCAGCGTACAGCTAGATTTTCTGGTTTTGGGCCTCCTCGCCAGTTATAACAGTGAAAGCTGTTTATAGCTTCCCCCATAATGCTTGGCCAGTGTCACTAAGTAGTAAAATACTTGAATTTTACCATGAAATTTCTTTTTTATTTCTCATCCAGTTGTCCCAGAAATCAAGTCATAAATTAACAATTTTATAGGTATATCATTTCTTCACATGTGCAACATCAACAATATATTTTTTAAAATCGAAATTAATCTTTATTATTATTCTAATAAAAGTATTCGGTATACACGTTAATACTTTCGACAATGATATATCAATATATCGCAAATTACAGCATAAAGGATTATTCAAATTGTAATGTCATACAATGAGAAACAATTTGTTACGCTAAGAAGATGACTCGCACGAGTACCGTGAACGGCGTAGCACGTTGGTTGTCAAAATAATGGCGTATCTTGAAAAGCAGGTAGCCGACGTCCACTTATTTATTGATGTGGAAATACACGTTAGGACGATTAGATAACCGGGGCGAGTATAACTTTTAATATCGGCAGCAAATATGTCGTAGTATTACTAGGTTGTTATTTTTTTTGTTTATTTCTTTTTCATCGTCGTTTCTGCGTGCATACCAAGTAGGTTAATCGCATGCATTGGCTGTTAATTAAGGCAAAGATTTTCGTCATCCCACAGTCGATGTTTAGTCATTTTTATTCGAGAGAAAAGGCATCGCAAGCTAATAACGTTGCCGGGGTAAAAACACGTGGTATACGCTGTATAATGCGACCATTGAGATCTGCATGCAAGCGAAAAGCAATAAAAAAGGAAAAAAATGCTGCTGGCGAGATGCAGCCGTGATCACATACACGTACACACGCTAGTGGGGAGGTCGACTGCAGCAGCAGCAGCAGCAGCAGCAGCAGCAGCAGCAGCAGCAGCAGCAGCAGCAGCAGCCGCAGCAGCAGGTCTTTATGCCGGTACGGTGGGAGCGAAGTGCCGGACAGCAGCAGATATAAAAGTAGTTGGGTAGTAGGGAGAACCAGAATCGGCTCGCTGGCTCTCTCGGCCGAGGCATTCGCGGGACGCGAGACGGCACGGGGAAGGACAGGTATGGATGCAAGTACCGCTATGCCCGGATCGTGGCCCCGGGCGACACACACACGCGCGCGCGCGCCGGCGCACCGACACAGAACCGCCGCCGACAAGCCAACGGACGGGCCAGATACGCGCCAGGCAGCTTAGCTCGCTTGGCTCGCTTGGCTCGCGGAGAGCAGGCCAACAAGTGTCCGAGCCGCGGGAGCGCGGATCACGCGGTGGCGGCCGCGCGCAGAGGACGCTCTCCGCGAAAAAATAAAAGGAACGAAGGGATCGGAGCCGGAATCGGCCTCGTTCGCCGCGCGCTCCGGGTGGAGCCCGAAGGAAATTCGACTGACCCCGAAACTCGCGGCGCGATGGGAAACCGATCGGCCGACGGCGATTATCGCTCTAATGGGCCGTTGCGTCTGCGCTCCGGTTTGCCCGGCCGGCGAAGGACGTACCTTCGGAAGCCAAAGAACGATCCGGGCACTTGGCACCCGAGCCAAAAAGTATTCGCCGCTCGATCCAACGACCCGAGCGCTCGCGGGACACGTGGAACTTCCCTCGCGCACGCGAAGGTGCAGCCGATCGGAGAAAAAGTTAATTACGATCGGCGAGAAAGAGAGAGCAGCGAAGAGGTTGCCGTAACGGGAACATCCTTACATCGAGAGCAAATCGTGAGGTAATAAGGATTAATTCGTGGGATAGATGTAGAGAGAAGCGGGGAGGGAGTCAGAAGAGAAAGTGGTGCGAGCGTGAAACACAAGGGGACGAAAGAATGGGAGGCCGAGGCGCAGAAAGGAGCCGCAAGACCGGCAGCTATATGGGCCAGTGTTGCACATCCGCGCGCACTCGCGACTAGAGAGGTGGGAGAGAGATGTTCTAGCCCACGCAACTCCTTCTCTTCTTCTTCTTCTTCTTCTTCTTCTTCTTCTTCGTCTTCTTCTCCCGAGCGAACCTCTTTCTCTTTCGTTCACGAGCGCGATGCCCTTCTCGCTGCCTCGCGCACTCAACCCATTTGTCCGTTTCCCGTTCTGATATCGGTTTCTCTATACCGACTCACTCCCCAGCTCGCCCCGGCTAATTTATTGCGCCGCGCGCATCTCTCTCGCACTTGCGGGACGCGATCGTCACTTTTTCTATACTTACGCGCACACACCGAGAGAGAGACAGCGAGACTTGTTTCGCACTCTATCTCTTTTCGCTAGCCAACTCGTTAGCTCCGTGCACTTCTTCATCTACCTCCTCCTGACTTTGCCGGCATTTTTTGCCAGCGCTGCGTTCGCGCAGCCGTCCAACTATTTCACTCTCTCGAGCGCGCGAGAGAGAAAAGTTTGCTTTCTTTTGCAATCTGGATCATCATACGGATCTCGATTCACTTGTGCGCATTGCTGAGACTCAATTTAATAGCTGGCGAGCAATTGATTCGAGTCGACGTTATTAAATAATACGATCGTACGATTCGCGGGCTCGTCACGACGACGACGACCGATTGATTTGCTAACGATTTATTTGCTCAAAATTATTAGTGCTCGTCCGCGCTTCGTCGGGTAAAGCGTATTATTGATGGAATATCGTTAACGCTGCAGGTCACCCATTGTACTGTGGGGTTGGGATATCTAAGCAACGGATCATCGGTGGGAAGAGGAACCGTCAGTGTCAAATTCCGATTTATGAAATCCGTTTGGACATCGATATTCGGCAGCGAAGAAGAAGAAGAAGAAGAAGAAGAAGAAGGAGCCTGCGCTTGATCATTAGCATAATTCGAGTGTAAGAGCGAGCGATGTATATATGCGGGTGCATTGTCTGACGGTTGCCCGGCGATTTCGCAAGGATAAAGCGCACCGAAAAACTCGGCTGGCTCATTAGAGGCGGCGAGCGAGAGGAAAATCATCGATTCGATTGTTCTGCGCGTCATTTGTTTTGCGTCCTCCTGCGGCGGCGTAATCCTCCGGTCGGTTCGTCTACCTGCTGGCAGGCTACGGCGCTGCGGCGCGGAGAGAGAGAGAGAGAGAGAGAGAGAGAGAGAGAGAGAGAGAATACACGTGCGGCCGATGGTGGGGCTGGAGAGAGCGAGAGCAGCGCCACGCAAGCGAGTCGAAGTGGAGGATCTTACCTGCGCCGCCTGCGCGCCGCTGGCCTGCGCTCAGTTCGAGGACTTTGTTCTCCGGCGCTGCTGGCGCGCGCGCACTGCTTCCTGGCGAACGCCCCTTCTCTCCACCTATCTCTCTCTCCTTCTGTCTCTCTCTCTCTCTCTCTCTCTCTCTCTCCGTCTCTCTCTCTTTCTCTCTCTTTTCTCTCTTATCCCTCCGAACTAATCGCGTGGGCTGGACCCGCCAGTCCCTCTGCATCCGAGCGTTTGTTTGGTTTTCCTCCTTGTCGTCGTCTGTGCGTGCAAGTTCGCCGGTAGCCGAGACTGCACAGTGAGTCTTGGCCGACGGGCGCAGCAGTACTAGTGGACCTGCGGGTGGTGATGGAGACTCGCGAGGGATCGGTAATGTGACGCGCAAGGATCGGCGTCGAGAAGTGCAGTAGCGAGCGCGCGCGAGTGCCACTGGAGAGCGGCGTCGGGACACGACAACGACGACGACGACGACGACGAAGGAAGCTCGCAGGAACGCGCAAGAGAAGTTGGCCGGATGAAAATGACGTCGACTAGGACGGGCGCTGCTGCCACACGGCCGGGCTCGAGCTGCCCAGCGTCGCCATCTGGCTACTAGCCGAGCCGAGCAGTCTCCGGTTGATGACCGGCTGGCCGCTCCTCGTCTCACGAGCAGCCCTCGAGCTTCCTTTGCTCTTCTCCGCCGCGCAGTGCTGCGCTGCCCGTGGAACTCAGCTGCTAACTAAAGAGGTTAGTAGCCGCGCGATCCTCCGCCCGGAGGCAGCGCTTTTTCTCCTCGGCTCGCGCGCGGCGCGAGCTATTTTCGCGCAGGAGAAAACTGACCGAGTGAGGCCAGCTGCTGCGCGCGCGAGCGCGCCAGCGACAACTGGTTCCGAGCGCCCAAGCCATATCGGATCGCTGGAATGACAGCCCGATGGCCATTCCCTGCCCGCGCGCACGCCTACCCGTAGCCAAGCGCTGAGCGTTCGCCAAAACCAACGGCCTCCGCTCGACGGCGATTCCTCGCGCCGGTGCTTCCGTCGCGGTCGACGAGGGACGCCCGTGCGCCCGGCGACGAGCCCCAAAGCACGCGCGCTCGAGGACGAGGAGATGATGCGCCAGAGTATTTGCGATACGTTACAGGCCAAATTCCTGTAGCACTAGTGAAAGTTACTACACACGCGGCTTGGGAACTTATTACATGGAAAAGTAAACTTTACAATGCCTCGTTTGGTACTTCCACTCTTGCAATCGCTTATTTTCTACTTTTATTCGATGCCAACCATTATACTTTTGCCCTGACATTTCGGATCGATTCGCCAAAATCAAGCTGCCAGTGTACTTTTAAGCCATCCACGTGGAACGTTATTTTACGTCGTCGTTGTAGAAAAAATAAGATTTTATTTAACGGCAAAATCATGCGTTTCCATTCAACACGACAGCCAGATAGAGTTTCCCTTGGTGTACGTATAATATTCTCGATCAGCATGCGATTATATAGCAATCAGTAAACTCGCTCGAGCGTATAGACAATTAGGACGATAACCGGTAGATTTCTCTGTTGATTTTCCATTTTCATCGACTCGTGGAAAAGCTCAACTCGAAGACGTTTCTCATCGTTCTGAGACAGTTCCGAATGCAAAAGTCAGCTCTGGCCAGATCAAGCTGAAATCGGCTCCGAAAAAGTAATGCCGAGGTCGTGACTCGTTAACATATGGACGCAGAATAGCTCTGCTTGTCTCGCGAAAACCGTCGGATATCCGTGTAAAATCACGTCTCCCGTGAAATGCAATCGAGCGCTCTGCCAAGGAATCTATTCCGACAGGTCGAGCGCGCGTTGGCAGGTGAAAAAGAAAGCAGTGTGCGAGTACGATGCACGCATCTATGCACACGTGTGGCAGCGGCGGCAGAGAGAGAGAGAGAGAGAGAGAGAGAGAGAGAGAGAGAGTGCGATGAGCTCGGCGAACTCGGAGGTTGGCGCAGGCAGCGCTGCGCGCGGCCGAGCCGAGCACGAGCCAGCCTACTGCTGCGCCAGCGTGGATCACTTATGCATTGCCCTCGCGTACATATGGAAGCGTAACGAGACATTTTCGGAGACTTGAACGCCGGCTTAGACGACGCGAGCGCGTCGGAAACTTCGGATATTTTCGCGCGACTTTGAACGACAATCCGAACAAGTTAATAGTACCATTTGATGAGTTACACGTTACCTTCTCCTAGCACTTTTCTACGGCCTTTTATGTCGACAAGCTTCTCATAAAAAAAAAAAATCTCTGTCGATGTATACACAGCCAACGGTATATTTATTTATAGCAGCTTCTCTCGAGTTTCGTATAATAAAGCATTAAACTGTTAAGTATAGCGTGATCAAATTCCTTTGATGTCAGACTGCGGACGGAGAACCTTTGGAGATGCGAGTGCGAAATACATCGGTTCAACGTACGTCATAAAGAAGCTTGTGGGCTTATTACAGGTCTGCGCTCGCTCTTTTCTTGTTTCTTCTTCTTCTACCGATCAGAAGGAAGAAAAAAATACCTGCCTGAATCGGCCTTCATTGCCTCGTCCGCAGTGGTGGGCTCTTCTTTTCTAAAATTGTAATTGTGGTATCGGTCCGTTAACGATTCGGATATCGCGGAATGCTCGCCGAGCTTTTAATCAAACGGCGATGCTCGCAACCAGAAATCGACTTGATTACCGTCAAAGTATCGAGCAATAAACTCGATTGGGATGCATTCCTTTCGGCAGTTTCGTGGCGTAAGTACGCGCGGGATACAAAAAGATCGACAAGAGGGAATTTATCGATCGGGTATCGGCAACAATCCGACTGCCATTGAGGGAGACTTGAAGCATCGACGCGCGGCCACCGAAGGCAATTAGGCTAACAGTAATCGGCCCCGTCGGCTCCGCGAGGAGCGTTAACCTAGAAATACGCTGTCTCGGCTTCTCGGATACATCGTCGAGCTTTAGATTAGAATCTTCCTCTTCTTATGCGAGTACGCGCGTTTCAGAAAATTATTTTTGCCGATTAATCCACGCGGCAGTGGCACTCTTTGGCAATTAGACCGAATGATTGCTAACTTCTCCACTCCACGGATAATTATAATAACGATAATCTCGCGCGGCGCAAACGTTTCTCCAGCTGTGTCATGTCTGCCTCGGGGGAGGGGGGCGCCCGAGAGCTCGCTGCCGCCGCAGCAGCAGCATAAACGCGTCGACCTACTTTGTAGCTTTAGTGCGCGAAAAAATGAAAATTAAGAGATTTGCAGCGGCCTGATAGGTACGTAGGTGGAACTCTCGCGTCGGTACCGCGCGCTCCGTGTACGTGTCTCGCGCGCGTGAAAGGAATACACGTGGGAAATTCTCACGTCGCCGTTGTCGCGCCGTCGCACGCGGCAGCGGCCCAACGCTTTCCTCCTCGGAAAATTTTCGACTCTGGCGCGAGCCGAGCTTCCGCTTCTGTGGCTGTGGCTTTTTTTTCTTCTTTCGTTCTTTCTCATTCCTCGTCGAAGAATCAAAGAAGAGGAGATTCGAAAAAAAAAATTTGTTAGCTTTTGTGGGAGCGTAATCATCGGGTTACTCGCAGGAACTTATTTACGAAGGTTGCCGCGTCTAACGGTACAGGCCGCCGCCGCCGCCGCCGCCGCCGCCGCCACCGCCAAGTCGAGCTCATCGCGATGTACGCGCCGCCACGGCTTTGTGAGTGTGTGTTATGCGCGCTTGCTGATGCTTCAAATTCGACTCCACGACTCAGCTCGTTGTTCCATAAACTCCAATCTGACAGCCCATTGCCGTCTTGATGAATCCTAGACGGGTAGTTGGTTCTTTTTTTCTCAAGACGATTGTTGCGCGCGTGTGCCTTTTTCCTTCTTCTTCCTCTTTGGCAATTTATTTGCGTGGCTACGAGTTCTAGTGGCCTTAATTGATACGAGCAGTCGAATTACAAATGCAAAGTGCTGAATTTCAGAGGGATATTCCGCGAGCGCTGGAGGGCAAAAAAGAAGAAGAGAAAAAAAATGGACGTGATGAATTCCGCGAGGAATGCGTGGTATCCGCAAGGATTAACGTTGAATCAGTGTCCGCGCGTCTGAGGCACGAGAGTGAGTCAGCAACGCCGACCAGTGAGTCAAAACGATATTTTAGTCGATGAAAATTTGAAAGATCACGTAACCTCGGGCTCGCTTCACGCCTGCGACTTTCGACCGTTTGCCAGGCGGCTTTTAGAGAAACCTCATAACAATGCAGCACGCGATCGAGCTTTTTTTCTGTTATTTTTTTTTTTCTTTTTTTTTTTCATACTCGCATTAGACGCAGGCGTAGAGGTCGTCAACCGAAAAAGTCCTGTTACGTGCCTCTCCGTCATCTCTCGCCTCGTCTCCACGTATACACACGACGGCGTACATTTTTGTTTCGTCGCGGTTTCATGTAATTTTAGGCTACTTTCAAGTGCGCACAGTCCATATAATTAACAGAATTGAAGCCTGCAAATGTACTTTTACGACGCGATGGCTTGGGTTTTCATCTTCGCGCGCTTCGACAATGTGACTCGAGTTTCCTCCAGGTGTTTTTCTCGTCCAACAAAAACATCTGATCGGAAATGCATCAAATATTTATTAGTACAAATAACGTTTGTTCGAAGCTTTAATGCGCGCGTAAAAATGCTCGTATTGACATGTGTTCCATAACGTTGGCTGCTGAGCGAAAAAAAAAGAGTCGCGAAAATAGACCGGTATAGAAAATATAAATATTCAAGAGCCGTGTGTAGCAGCTCGTGCAGAGCGACGGTGGGAGAAGAAGAGGGAGGGGAGGGCGAGAGAGAAAAGCGTACAGGCAGCGGAGGGGGGAAAAGCGGTTCCCGCGAGCTGATTTCCATCGATCTCGGATCGATTGCGAAAAGGCGCAGGTAGCCGAGTATAGCGGGAGGGGGCTTTGAATAGCGTTCGGCAAAAAGGGAGAAAAGCAGAGGAGTGTGCCGGTTCTCGCATGATGCACGGGAGCGTCGGCCAGGCATTCCTCGCAATCATATGCCCGCAACGGACATTGCGATGTTAGCGTCGAAAAACACGCGGCAGCGCAGGCGGCTCGTATTGTATGCTAAAATTATAGCGCGCGCGCGCGGCGTGCTCTCTTTGTCTAGAGAGCCGATACGGCTCTCCGCTCGACACAGCTAAATAGCTCACTGGGTAGATGTATTCCGCGCCAATATGGAGTAGGGCTACGTTTTTTCCTTTTTTTTTTTTTTTCTTTTTTTTTCCTCCTTCCGAAAGCGCCTGCCTACCCTTGCGCTCTTTCATGCAAATGCACGATCGTTCGTTAGCACAACAACGGCTGCTAATTCAAGAAACCTGCTCTCGGTGCGAGAGAGCGATCGATCGTGAGCGCGAGTCAAGTGCCTCCGCACATTACTTATGTAAATATGCAATTTCACATGATCGATCAGCACTCACTTTCAGCATTGTCCCGGCCAAAAATTTATGCTAATGCCCGCGGGACATGGCTGTAACATTGCTCCGGCACACAGTACTTTTTGGCCGGCCGTACAATGCGCAAACATGACAGCCTCGAAAACGTTCCGCATTATTTATCGGCCGATGCGTTAATAATTCCATTATGAAAGACTGCTTTTTTTTTTTTAATCCGTCATTGTCCCCCTCCGCTCTGTTAGCCCATACTTCTTCCTAACGAGCGTTGCGCAATCGCCGAGTATCATTTAATGCGTGCTCCTTATATTTTTTCCGTAGCGCCGAGAGCAA